ATTGGCAATAGTGGGAATCTTTCGGGGGGGGGCAACACTTCATCAACAAGGGTACCTGCATAATGAACATCTGTATACCTAACCCTGAATTGTACCCCACATCTTTAAAATTAAAAATTAAAAATAAATAAATAAAAATAATAATAATTTTTTTAAATTAGCTGGCATGGCAGCACATGCCTGTAGTCCCAGCTACTTGGAAGGCTAAGGTTGAAGAATCACCAGAGCCCAGGAAGTTGAGGCTGTGGTAGCCATGACCATGTCCTACTGCACTCCAGCCTGGGCAACAGAGTAAGACTCCAACTCAAAAAAAAAAAAATTGCTGTCATGATTATTTATTAACTTCCTAGATCCTCTTACAGAATCTTTTATAGACATAATTATATTGAATTTAAGTCTCTTTTGAGTAACTAGCCTTCTTGTGATACTTGATGTGGCCTAGATTAAAGTCACCAGTGATGCTAGTGGCTGCTTGAACATCAACATAAATTCAGCAACTCTAAAGGGACTGAAATTGCCTATAGGTTCAATACAGAGAAATTACTCTGAAACTTTAAGACAGCAAAGTCATATCACATTCAGAAAAGAATTAAGCATTCTATAAACATGCTAACCTTTTTAAAGAATCTGTTCATGTTGGAAGATTAATTAGCTTTTATTTCAGTTAATTATTTTAAATGTCACTCTAGTTATTAATGGTTAGCTTTTTTCTTTAGAAATTAAAGGTGTTAATCAGTCTAATTAAAAACAGAATGGTTCTTTCAGATTATTTTTTATTCTATCTTCTTGCTAAAGAGAAAAGTAGTCTTGCAAATCAGGGAATGACAGAATGAGAAGAAGCCTTAGACAATACCTATTCAACACGAGGGAAATGGGCCCAAAGATAGTGGGACTTGCCAGAAGTCACCAAACCCAGTAATGTACAATCTCGCACAGAGCTTTTCTTGAACTCTTGGCCTTAAGAAATCCTCCCACCTTAGGTTCCCAAAAGGCCAACATTACAGGCATGGTGCTCTGCGCCCAGCCAAGCACAAGGGTTTTCTGACACCCAGAGTCCAATGCTCTTTGCATCAACCAAGCTGCTTCAACATGCCTCTTTCTCCTTCAACTAGCAGCAATAATCTCACCCTTGTTTGTTTTCTCACCTTTGCTTTGTGCAGCAAAATTTTAAACAGAGGGAATTTAAACAAACACGTTTCTAAACACAAGAGACCAAAAGTCAGCTTCACCTTATATTACAATCTAAAAAATGGAAATGGGTTGGTATCATTACCCCTTTTCCCTTATCTTATTCAATATGAAGGATTCAAGGTGGCTTTTCCAAATAGCCATTAGCACAGTATTTACACTGGGTATCTTTCACAGTTACATTTAATTTTAGAATGTTTATGGAAATCCCATGCTTTCTTATGAAGTGTTGAGAGCAAAGAGCACACCAGCACTGCCATTAGGGACACAGAGAAGATGGCTGGTCACGTTTAATGCTCTGGGTCAAGAATAATTTTCCTTAAGGATTAGAGTAGATTTCAAGAACAACATAATAATTTAATTTTTGAAGCCCATTCTGCCTTTGACTGTAAGCCTTCACCTTCCTTAGCCTTGTTTTATATTAAAAGGGGATCCCCATAACCTCGATTCCCCTGACCACTATACAGAAGCCTTCCTTCTGATAAGCCCTGGTCCATAAGGTAATAGAATGTACATCGATTAATATAGATCTCTTGCTTATCCCAGAAGTCACTCACATGAGGAGATACATAAACCTTTTTCCTGTGGAGTATTTTTGCTACCCCAACAACAAATGGAAAACAATGCCTAGACTCAATTCTAAGACAAGACCTTCTTCCCCTAAAGATTTGTTAAGCTTTTGGCATCAATTACCAATGAAAGAAAACACTCAAATATTTGTAGAATATGGCAAAAAGACTATGAAGAATTAAGAATACACTTCTGAATACTGAATAATAAGCTAAAAATGAAATCAATCTTTTTTTCTTTTTTCTTGTTTCTTTTTTAGTCAGGGTCTCACTCTGTTGCCCAGGCTGGAGTGCAGTGACATGATCACAGCTCACTGCAGCCTAAACTCCTGGGCTCAAGCAATCCTCCTACCTCAGCCACCCAAGTAGTTTGGACTACAGGTGCACACCACCACACCCAGCTAATTTACAAAAAAAAACAAAAACTTTTTTTTTTGGTTAGAGATGAGGTCTCACCATGTTGCACAGTGATCCTCCTACCTCCACTTCCCAAAGTGCCAGATTATAGGCATGACCCACTGCATCCAGTCTAAAGCAATCTTATTTTAAGAAAGAAGCAATCTCATCCTTAAACCACAGCAAAGATAAGAGACATAGCAAAAAAAGAGATGGTAGTTGGAGAAATGAGCTGAGTGGGGATGTACAAAGCCATTGTATTATTAGCAGCCCACATCAACTACAGCTCCTAAAATGTCAATGAGGGTCACAAAGCTGAAAGGCCCAAGTTAAAATCTGGTTCCTTCTTCTCCTCATCATGACCCAAAAGCTTCCTAACAAAACTGAGCACCAGGAATGTTACTGATATTCAAGGAGTTTGGAAGGATTTCTCTCCAAGGTCAAGATGGAGTCAGAGAATCAATAACCATGTCAGGACAATATTGGCTGAGTATCCTCAGTTATACACAAGACTCACCTTCCGCAGCATGTCATTCTGCTCTACATTGTTGATCTTGCCAGGGCTGATTTCTCCTTTCAGGGTGTATTCGAAGAACTTCCCACTGACATTCACTAATAAGGTGCTGAAGGCCCTGTCTTCCTGAGTGCAGCTGAGTGACTTGTCATGGCCACTGGTGGCAGGGGTACCATACCTCAGGATCACCCCAACGATGAGCCCTGAAACAGAGTGGAAAAAACCCCATCAGGCCTGAGGAAGTATAGAGAGACTATGGAAAAAATAACAGTTGATTTTCAACAACTAAGAAATGCAGAAGTAATGTCAGAAACTAGGTATAAGGTGTATATTTAGGGGCAAGTGCACAGTCCTTCAGGGTTGAAAGGGGTAAGTATCCATCTGTTCTGATCTAATCTAAGTCCCTCAGACACTCAGAATGACAAGGCGGAACAGAGTATCTTTGATGGTTATTATGGTACCCTGAGCACTTTTAACACTTGATCGTGTCTCATTTATCAGACTTTTGGTGGAGGAAGATGAGATGAATGCAGTGAAGCTTTTTCTGCCCAGAACAGCACAAAGCAGAACTGCTGAGCTCTTTGATTTCCCCCAACATATTTCCCTCAAGCCAGCAAGGACCAAGTCACTGGAATTTCTAGTTGCTATAAATGTAATCTGCTTTGCCACACATCAGAGGAAGGGGAGGGGGCAAAAAAAATTATTTTGCTTAGGTCATTTCAAGCACTAGTTATCGTGGAGAAGATAATTACACCCCTTGGGAAGCTAAACACTGCACTGTAAATTTGAGCAGTCATGATTCAGGGGCTGGAGAACTGGCTTCTTGGGGCTGTGGCTATGATACAACTAAGATAATCAATCAGCTGCAAGTCTTTAAGTCTCGTTGCCTTCTTAGTAGGGCTTTCCCATTAAGGAAAAATAAAAGCAGCAAAATTGTGTACAAGCATTCAACTCCGTGAATTAGGAAGGAGTGCTGCTCCCCTGGTCCTGGACATGAGTCAGACATGCCCAAGTAAAAGTGAGTGAAATGTGAAAAAAAAAAGGAATAAATGACTAACAGATACTTTCTACAATTCTCTTAGCAGGAAAATTTCAGACTTCTATCTAAATTCAGTTCTTTGCCAGCAATATTAAAAGAATAATAAAATGCTCCTCCATCTCATTTTTCCATTAATGGAGAAAGTTACATGAGAAAGAGAAAGAACAATGTTCACTATATTCTGTGTATAATGCTCTATAATGTCTCATCACCAAGACATAAGAATTCACAAGACATTGTTGAGTAGCAAATAATATAGAAAATCTAGAAAAATGTTGTTCTTTAAGCCAAAATCTATGTCTGTGTTGCATTATTATTATCATTATTAAAGACTTGTATTAACAAATATTTGCAATGTGTTGACTTTTGTAAAAAAAAAAATTGGGTTGTAAAGTTTTATTACAAATTAAAAATGAAGTTCTTAATAACCTTAATGTGACCAGATATGAAACAATTTTAAAACCTTTAAAAGTATATGAGAAAAACTAGACAGTAAAAAAAAAAAGTTTGTCACTGACAAAAAGAGATGTTTTTAGGGAAAAATAATAAAAACTCCATAATTCAGATGGTTCTAGTTATCTGGTAAATGAACAAAAAGCAAGCACTTAAGGGCCTATCTTTTGTTCAGGTATTATAGCTGGAATTTATATTCGTTTCCTCCTGTCAGATGGCAAAGCAGATAACAGTAGACATGGTTGGCCGGCATTTACTCAGACCTGCCCTGCTCAGCCTTGGTAGTGGGCTTCCCAGCTGTCAATCCCTTCGCCATCTTGTGGTTCAAGGTATTCTGGGTATCTGTGCTGGTAACTCAGGGTGTGAGGTAACTATATTGAGGTGGCTGCTGGTCTTGGGTCCTATTGCCTTGGTTTTCCTGCACCTCTTCATTACTGGCTAGGTAAGAAGGGGTCCTGGAAACTCATGGTTTATAATCCCAATACATAATGTGTTTCACTGGTCTACTTGTTCTCTTGCACCCTGGTTATCAGCACCCTCCATCACTTCTTGCACAGAAGGGTTGGAACACTCTGGTCAACACCCACAGGGTCTCTGCACAGAGCAAGGTGGGAGACATTGCCTATGCGCTGTTGGGTGTGATGCTGAGGGGAACTCTACAATTCCTTTCTTCCATTCTCACTGTTCTACTAATTCTGCTGGTGACCCTATGGAAGACTCTGATGATGCCAATAATATCTATAATGGTTACGATTTAGTGCGTGGCACTAGAACTTCACCAGGGCCTGCAACCTTTGCTGCCTATATACACATTTCTCCTTCAAACTCCATAGATTCTCTATTCCCTGTATGCCAAGGTGCTTCCTGGGGGTTTTCTTCTTTACGACCATCTGGTATACAAATACATTTTGTTTGGTTTCATTCCTGTGAATGAAACCATATCTATTTCTTACATTGATCCATTTCACTGTTCCCAAACTCCCTGCAGTAACCTTCTTGTCCCATCAATGGGCCACCACTCCCTCTGTCTCTGCTGTGGTGTCATGCTGGGTGTCTCAGCACTGCTGCTCATGGCTGCAGTCACAGACTAGGGCTGGCTGTGGCAGTGGCACCTTCTCCCTGGGTGTGTTGGTAACAAGGCAGCTGGTGGCAATGAGGCTGCTCAGGGATCTTGGGGGCCCACTCTCCACTCCAGATGGAACTCTGTGATGCTGTTTAATCTCATTTCGTTCCCTTAACAACCTGGAAAATTACCTGGTTAGGCGGTTATTTTCTGACAAGTTTTACATGACAAGGACCACTCCATAGCCTTTCAACACTCATCATAATACAGGACGATCTGCAGCATCTGGAGAGGGCTGCCTGTCACACAATCTTACTTAAACATCTTCATCAGGAAACCAAAATAAGTCATTTATGGAGAGTCTGTTTTTCTCCTAAATCAAAATCTGCTTCATGTAACTCACTGTTTCTTGACTTTATTAACTTCATTATTAGCAGAGCTAACGGAAAGACTAAACCATACCAGCACAGGGTCTTCACAGTAAATATCACTCTAACAAAAGAGGTTTATATTTGCAGACAGATTCCTTAATTACAGGAAATGCTCCCAAACTCATTCCCAGTTATCATCACTACCATATCTAGAATCGTTATCAGATGATGAATATTGTTTTTTAAAGTTATAAAACCTTTCCCGAAACAGTGAAGATGACGATGCTGTCCCATTCTTGTTAAAACCTGGCAACACAAAACACCACAGGAATTGGTAATTTTGACCAAGCCACAGGGTACACTACTAATTCAAGGTAGAGTTTGAATAACCCTCAAACATTTTAGATTCACATTTATTACCACTGAATTTCATGGCATAATAATATTAAATTCACATTTGGCATTTTCTGTTTGAAGAAAGAATAGGATATTAGGACTGCAGAGGGGCATTTTGATGCAAAAATGATTAAGACTTAGAGAAAACATGAATAGCATATTTTCATCTGCTGGATCTGGAAGATAGCCTCTAATAAGGAATTGTGAAGAGGTCATAACTACAAGGAATTAAAACACACATTAGATTTTTTTGAAAGTTCAGTATTCACACACACACACATAAAACGATGAGAGCAAGAGGCACTAATGGGTTGACCCCATCAACAGCATAGTATTTTAGACTACAAAAAGAAATAACCTATTATATATGTGGGCCAGAAAAAATAGCAAATATGACTTCAGCTGGTGAAGAGAAAATCACTGATTTCATAGGTATATGACTAATATCAGGAAATAACTCAGTTTTGAACTTTTACAGAAAGTAAATATAGATGAAATCCCTTTGACATTAGATGTAGCTTAAAACAAGATGGTGAACTCCAAAGATGCAAAAATTCAAGACTGTTTCAACTTGTGGGTATGAAAAAAATTCATTCACAACTGTATTAGTATGTTGTGCTAATGATATACAATTGTCAATGTTTCTAATTTTTAAAAGAAAGACATAACAAAAAAAATTCCTATATATGTATGTCCCCATCCAAAACTTGGCAATATGATGAACAAGGTGGGTTCAAAAACCCAATGGGTCAGTAAAAAAACCAACCTCCATTAGTATGGTGCCAGTTTCCTTTCTGTGACTAAAGTTATTGGGAGGACAGCTGAACAAGTGGACATGGTGAGGTGTAATTCTAGACAACCATCCATCAGCTGCAATATTTAAATGTCTATGTTAATAAGCCTTTGTTAAGGACGAGGGGAACAGGTGTGTGGGTGCACTGTTCTCAGTGAGACTTCACCTTCTATTATGTACACTACTGAGGGGAGGTGATTGCCTGATCAGTTTGGCCACTGCTGTAGAGTTGTTTACACCACAGTAAGGGCTGTTCTGAGTTCTGAAGCTTCATATGTACTTCTGAGAAAAGAAAGCACCTCATTTCACATCCAGTTATGCAATGTTTGAAGATAGTGGTAACTACTTCTAATTCAATAAATGAAGAGGATCCAATGGACTCTAGCAGTAACAATGACTTTTCAGGTTTGGGAGTCATTCATGAATGGTACAACCTTTCCAATACTGTTTTCTACTTGTTCTCTTACTTATTATGCAGTGACACTATTCATTAATATGTTAGTTTCAAGGAGAATTCATTCAAAATATTTTTGTTCCTTGTTTTGAATGTGAAGTAAAACACGTTTAAAAAACAATTTTATTGAGGCATAATTTATATACCATAGAATCCATCTATTTTAAGTGCACAATTCAATGATATTTAGTAGATTCACAGAGCTGTGCAATCATCACCACAATGTGATTTTGGAACACTTCCATTTGCATCCACTCCCTGTTTCCTACTCCCATCTTCAGGCAATTACTGATCTACATTTTGTCTGTAGAGAGTTGCCTTTTCTGGACATTTCATATAAATGGTATCAGATAATATGTGGCATTTTGTGTCTGGCTTCTTTCACTTAGCATATTTTCAAGGTTTTGTCCACGTTGGAGGCATATATCAGTACTTCATGACTTTTTATTGTTGAATAGTATTCCATTGTATAGAAATACCATATTTTGTTTATACATTCACTAGTTGATGAACATTTGGGTTGTTTCCCCTTTTTTGTTACTGGAATAATTCAGCTATGAACATTCATGTACAAGTCTATGTGGACGAGTTTTCATTTCTCTAGGACAGATTTCTCTAGAGTGGAACTGCTGTG